CCCCCCCCCCCCCCCCCCCCCCCCAACGGGATTTACATTGATAGGTGCATTATACGATGAGGTTTTAAAATCATAGCTTTGTCAATTTGGTGAGCCTCGCGTGCCTTTCTGACAGAGTCACGGTTGCTACTGATTAGTTCTAGGGGAATAAGAAGGACGTCGTCGACAGGGTGATCGGCTTGGTTAAAAAATGTTTGGAGACAGGAGTAGGATTAGGAAAGTGGCCATAATTGAGAATGGAGCGGCCGTGCTCCCCAGAGCGTTGGTGGAGATGGCACTTGGTCTCTCCAGTGTACTGCTTGCCGCACTTTTTGCCTTCAATGAGATATATAGATAAAGTTCTTGTATTTACAGTTTAAGGGGTCACGTCGTTTCCCTTTGGTGGAGGTGAAGGTGTAGTTGGCTTAGCCTTGTTTTAAAAATGGACAGGTAAGGCAGCGTGGATGATTGCATTTTGAACTGCCTGGCGATGGTTTTTCTTGTTGTATGCTACAATCACGTAAAGTCCTTCTAACAAGCAAGTCACTTAAAGGTTGGGACTCCTTTCTTATAAGTAACGATTGGTGGAGACGGAAATATTTGTTTGCAGCGATTGGATGATTTGAGAATGTTTATATTTTTTCCGGACCGTGGTGGAAATGTTAGGAAGAGCTGGATTGTATGAGATGACAAAGGAAGTTCCGTTTGAGTTGTTGTTCTTTAGTTGTCGTTTCAAAGTTTCTTGACGTGGGATGATACGTTCCCAGTTAATTTCTTTTTTAAGAAAGTGGCGCCTGTGACTTCGTTGTTCCAGAAAGTTTATAAGTTTATTGCAGCGTTTACTTCGAAAAGTATGAGGTCTGGCTTTCGTTACTTTTAGCGGACCGTAGGATAAAAGTTGCCGAATGCACGAACAAGAAGAAGAAGAAGAAGAAGAAGAAGAAGAAGAAGAAGAAGAAGAGAAAAGGTGAGAAAAGGTGGGGGTGTGATGCCCAGGTCCAAATCCTGACCCTATTTCAGACCAAAAAATGTCATCATTATCAGACACCCGTTTTCAGACTAGACCTCTAAAATCCATACCTGCCACCAAAACTTACTCAAGAGAGGCGGGGGGCTGTGTATCCCAAGCATTAAGCTACTACACTGGCCAACGTTACATCTGCAGGAGGCGAATTGCAAGGCTATGCATGCTGTACAAAACACTTAACAACGGCCGCAACTCCAACGGACCCGCCACACCCATCCACTCCACTCCAAGCAACATGTGATGCGTACAAGTTCAGCTTTTGGTGTTTTGAGCTCCGCTCTAATGAATTGAGTAAAGTGACTTTCATTATTATATACTGTTATTTTTCATCATGTTTATTTATCTATTTTTTTAAGCCTTTTCAGGGGCGGATCCAGGATTTTTTTTAGGAGGGGGTGCACTCGTCTCTTGCTCTACTTCAACACCAATAAACCACATAGTTCTTTTTTTTTTGCAGAATACCAGTTGCATTAGAAAACCGCAGGTCATCTCAGGGAGGGGTGCGCACCCCCTGCACCCTCCCCCTAGATCCGCCCCTGCTTTTGCAAATTGTCTTTATTCAGGATCTTGCAAATGTTATGAATGTATATGTAACCAGGAGCTTATCACTAGTGATAGGCTCCTGATGTAGCATACGCATTGGCCAGGAAAAACCATCTGCGTTCACGCTGAAGATTCACCATGTTCACATACTAGACGATAATGCACCTTGTTTACCCCCCAAAATTTTGTGTAAACATTGTTTACAATATCTCTTGGGATGACTGTAATACTCAGGAGAAATTGGAAACAATGGTTAGCGTATGTTAAATTTTGGTGGGTAAACAAGGTGCATTATGGTCTATGTTACACGGGTAATCTTTTAGAGGACAGGTAGCTTGCAAACCAAACTGAACCCAGGGTTGTCGGAACAGCAACAAGAAGATTTATTCCAAAAAATGAACGTAGTTTCCATGAAGTNTTATTCAGGATCTTGCAAATGTTATGAATGTATATGTAACCAGGAGCTTATCACTAGTGATAGGCTCCTGATGTAGCATACGCATTGGCCAGGAAAAACCATCTGCGTTCACGCTGAAGATTCACCATGTTCACATACTAGACGATAATGCACCTTGTTTACCCCCCAAAATTTTGTGTAAACATTGTTTACAATATCTCTTGGGATGACTGTAATACTCAGGAGAAATTGGAAACAATGGTTAGCGTATGTTAAATTTTGGTGGGTAAACAAGGTGCATTATGGTCTATGTTACACGGGTAATCTTTTAGAGGACAGGTAGCTTGCAAACCAAACTGAACCCAGGGTTGTCGGAACAGCAACAAGAAGATTTATTCCAAAAAATGAACGTAGTTTCCATGAAGTAAAACTCTACAACAGCTCGTAACTCGCTAAACTTACTCGGCCTCCGCCAACTTGAATAAACACTGCCTTCGTCACACTTGACTAAACACGACTAACGTCAAACTCTCTTCGCTTGTGAAAACTAGTTAAAACTTCGTTTGGACTTGCTTACTTATATACTTTCACAACAACATTCTAGAACTTTCTAGATAGTCTAATTATAGAAAGATTACAAAATATACCGCTTTAGAAAAACGCTTACACAAGATCCTAAACAAACTATGAACTAGCCTGCGTAGCAAGCGTTTCTGTGCGGTTTAGAAGCAAAGAACGAGGAACGAGAGTCAAAGACCCCACGAAAAATGGTGCAAGTAAAAGAGCGGGGAGGAGGTGAGGTGTGTATTTTCTGTTCTCTTTTCGCAAAAAAATCTCAACAAAGCATGATACTTGAACATCTACGGAAATCTCCTACCAGTTTTTAGTACTAAAGGTTCCCGTCTTGAGGAGTAATAAAGCCACCGACTCCAGTACTTCAACCGATCAATTTTCAGCTGCAACGAAGACCATTGTATTAGGTAATTTATTCAAGTTTGGAAGATTTGCCATCACATTCGCATGAGCATTTTGCCATTGGGGATAATGAAAAGAATAAGACGATTGCCATATTTTCTTCATCTTTATCCCCACTGTCGTAAACTCCCGTGCGAATGTGATGTCTAGTCTAAAAACCTTGAATAAATTACCAAGTACCGTGAGGGCTTTTAATAGACGTTTAGAAGTACTGGAGTTGGTGGCTTTATTTCTCCTCGATACGGAAACTTGCGACGCTAAAACTCTTGAGAGTTTTTCGTAGATAACATAATTTACCTTGTTAAGATAGCTTTCGCAAATAGAGGGACAAATACAAAGTAGGTTTGATAAATAGAAATTCTTTTATCCTGCCCAGCATTCAGCGTAAAGTTGTCCTTCTTTATTGTGAACTGTATTCGCAGTATGTTTTTGATTACTCAGTTTCTTGCAACTGAAGCTTTGGGCAAGAGTACCCTTGCAGATAGGAGATAGTCCGCCGACAGTTTCCCTCCATTCGTCCGTCAGCTTTCACAAATGTGTTAGCGTTGCATTTTAAGGTTAAATTTGACCAGCTATTTGTGCAGCAAGTTCTACAGTCACGATTGACTTCAATTCAATTCTTTATTTCACACTATAAAAGATATTTACATAAGTGTACGTAGCTAGGAAAATAAAGTAGCTGACAAATATTTATTAACTAAAAGACAAAAACTAGAGAGTTCCGAGGCCTATTTGCCGAAGTTAGAGAAAAATCTGTCAAGGTTTCGAAATTATTGACATTTTTTGCAAAAATGCGGTTTAAAACATATGCCGATATCTCAGACGCTTTTATACCTGCAAGAAATTAAAAAACATTTTCTTAAAATTCGACCACTCTTTGTTAAGGCTGCCAAAAATCATGAAAATTGGTTAAACCATTCCTGCCGAAAAACGCGATTCAACAACATGTAACCAACGCGCATGTAAATAGGTTCCAGTCAGTGCGCACGAGCGTCACCTATCTGGTCACGTGCAGAACCACGCGTGATTGTACGGTACAACGTACTAGAAACCACTCAGTCAGTCTCGGGATAAATATACCAAAGCCGAAACACGAATTCAAAGAGAACTGAAAACAGCTACTCTAGCTTGGTTAATTTATAAAGGTTTCTCTCTAGCTCCGAGATTACTCTGGCAAAATGATAAAAAAATGCAGTTTCATCGTGATGTGGTTGCATAACTTTCTTGCAAAGAATAGCTATGACGCAATTTTCCAGAAAGTTCCAGAAAGTTCCAGAACGAGGCAAAACCGCATAAATTCAGAGCACGTGTACAACAACGTCATTTAACTCAGCGAGCCGGCTTCATCGAGAGAGAAGAGGTTGTGTAACATTTTTTTCATTCGTTTTCTCAGATCCAAAATGCCAGCCCCTGCCGTAGGAATCGACCTCGGAACCACCTACTCTTGTGTTGGGGTTTTCCAACATGGTAAGGTTGAAATTATCGCTAATGATCAAGGAAATCGAACTACCCCAAGTTATGTCGCTTTCACCGACTCTGAAAGACTCATTGGCGATGCAGCGAAGAATCAGGTCGCTCTCAATCCGTCAAATACGGTTTTTGGTGAGTTGCTTTGCAAATTAATTTTGAGAGAACTTTAATAAAATTTCTTTCTTTTACCTTTTTGCTGTGAAACAGAATTAAAACGCGTTCAAAGAGATGTTTTGTGCTCTCAAGCCCAAGCGCTTCGATTTGCTGAGGAAACGAACTTATTTATTTCAGATGCGAAGCGTTTAATCGGAAGAAAATTTGAGGAGGGCTCTGTCCAAAGCGATATGAAACACTGGCCGTTTAAGGTGAGTTAAATCTTGCAAGAGGTTGAACGACGAGGTGAAAGCAAAGAGCGCTCGCATGCGGGCTGGTGGCGTAAGGGTGCAGTTGTGTCCTGAGCTACGCCACGATTTTTTGGTATTTCCTTTTAATGCTTGATACTCTTTGTAATCAAAGAAAACCGTTCAAAAGTGGTTTAGTTTTATTAAAAATTTATCTACTGCGACAGGTAAACTATAAATTTACGTGTTTGGATGTCGATGGCGAGGATGGAAACGGATTGCAACTTCGAAAAAAAATTGGGCCAACTTTTAAACTTCTGTGTTATTGAAAAAGTGACCTAAAGCCGATCATGCTTTGTGTTCCCTTTGACAAAATCATCTGATATCTTTCTTTTTAGAGTTGCATAACAAGTACAAAAAAAGATGACAGAGAATACTTAGTTCTAGAAAATTGTTCTAGAAAATACGTAACAGTTTCGATTCCTGCTCTATGGCTTATTTGATTGGATGAGACATCTTCATTTTTTTAGCTTTCTGTTTGGTGTTGTACATGTATTTATATAACAATATCTCGTGCTTCAAATTCCCATAAATATGGTTGGTCATTTTGTTTTCTCTTTCAGGTGATTAGTGAGGGGGGAAGACCCAAAATTCAAGTTGAACACAAAGGAGAAACTAAAACATTCTATGCTGAAGAAGTGAGTTGAAATATTTTTCTTGGTGACCATGTTTTTTTTTAAACTCCATTTTCACCACAAGATAACGAATTGTTGAGATACTTGATCCTTTCTTTAGCACAAGTTTTAAAGAGAAGAATGCTCTTCATTATTTCTAATAGTTAACATCCCTTTTTTTTCCTATGACAGATTTCCTCCATGGTTTTGACCAAAATGAAGGAAACAGCAGAGGCGTATCTGGGTGATAAGGTCACTGACGCTGTTGTCACTGTGCCGGCTTATTTCAATGATTCACAGAGACAGGCAACCAAAGATGCTGGTATGTAAGCTTATTTTTGAATCAAAACAGAGCAATACTGGTCTTGAAAGGGTTAACCATTAGTTATCTGGCTACGGTTGTTCAAACGCTGGATATTGACATCCACTGTATAAATTACTGTCCAATGGGTAAATACTAGGAAAACCAATTGCCCTATCCAGGGGATAGTGTTATTATTCACCTTTGAAACAGTTGGGCCCTGTATTATAAACCTCAATATAACAAATATATGTCAACATGTGACCGAAAGATAGCTATAGATGAATGAGAAACAGGCCAACAAAGATACATCGTAATATTTGCATACAGTAGTTTCAAGCAGTCTTGTTTGCCTGTTCTTGTGGTTCTAGGGTCATAGCCATGTAAAGCTCAGAACTGGGACAATAGCTTTGTACACAAAATGTTTATTACAGAACCTGTTCATATCTGGAAATGCTGGGCTTTGGAAAAGTACAAAATATTCCAATTTCTTTGGTGGTATTTCTTGAGAAATTAGTGCTTAAAGGACCCTACTGTTAAAAGAAAATCGTGTCTAGTAAAAAATTTTGCTGATATTTTTTACTGAAATTTTTGGTATCGATTTTATTGATATAACTATTATGCGGGAGAAATTTCAGAAAAATCATTAGAGCAGAAGTCCGTAACTAATAGTCACTCAAAAATCAGCTGTGAAATTGTTTTGGAATTTCAAAAATAAATTAGGCAGGTGGAAGGAGGAACCAGTTTGAAATTTTCAGACAAAAATTCAACGTTTGCTAATTCTTAAAACAAAAGCCAATTACCTATCATGCTATTCTTTAAAAGGTACTTTTTAGTTTTAGAAGCACTATAAAATGGCTCCAAACCTTGTTCTTATGTCGAATTACTTAATCCTCTACATTTTTAAAATATCCCTTGGCAGTTTTGGTTCAAACTCCTGCCACATACATTTTGATGTATTGCAATGGATCCTCAACGGCGTTTCAAAAGAGCTATAAAAGCGGCTGCAGTGGAAAGCCCTTTGACAGCGATAAACAGCGCTTTTGCAGCGGTGCAGAAAATTCCCGAATCATGATCTACGCTGCAAAGAGGCTGCAAAGTGGCTTTGAAAAGACAAAGAATGTTGTTATCGGTAATGGCCTACCACTCGTTAGAACAAAAAAAAGAAATGCAGGCTCCAATAATCATAATACATGGTAGAGGAGCTGACAAGTCCTTAGTAGCAGAGTAAAAGCCACTAGAAAGTCAAAATGCAACTGATACTTTATTAGTATACACGTGCACACAAAAGCACTTGACATATCACAAATCTGCAACAGTCTCGCTTTGTAAATATTTAGCACGGTCACTAATGTAAATGTAAGTACAGCCATTAAGGTGGCTGAACACAGTTTTGGCAGTTTGTGAGCGTATGTCATTTGCCAAATCATGGCAAGAGAAAGGTTGCAGCTCACAAGCTGAAACTTGGCAAGTGAAAAATATACTTATGAAAGATTTTGATGTAATATATCAAACATGAGATGCAGTGTTTCATCACCAGATGAAACACCGAGAAGAGAGTTGAAAATACGACGCGCAGTGGAGTATTTTTGACGAACTTCGAGGTTTTTCATCTGGTGATGAAACACTGTGTCGAATGTTTGGTATTTCTTCTCAAACAAAATCATTTTTGAAGGAGAAATTAAGGATGCAAAAATGAGCAGTTTTTCATCTGATATCCAAACACTCATTAAACATTAATTTCCTTTGAATTTTCTTTATGAATTATTAATGAGTTTGAGAATGACAGGTAAAATGTGACGTTTTCGTAGTTTCCATGGCAACATGAATGATTGAATACGACCTTTAATTTTCACTTTTGCTCAGTTTACTCAAAATTCGCTCATTAGATTTTCCTATAAACTTGCACACAGCTTACTATCATTACCATTTGAAACTTATTTGACCAAATTTTAACAGACAGGTTTTTAGATAATCAATAATATAATTATGTACTGTACATTTTGAAGTAATTCATTATTTAAAATACGATAAAAGTAAAAATCCCGCCAAATTTCACAACATTTTAATGAGTAGATTTTGAAAAAATGTCTGCTGTGTACCATTTGCTTTTTTTGCCGCCATGTTTTATGTCTGATTTTAAACACGTGCCGTCATGCGAGTTACCACTCATCGCCCGCAAAACTGTGCTCAGCCACCTTAACATGTAGACATTGAAAATTATCTTTTTAAAAAATAAAGAGATTAACAGCGATTGTTCTACGTAAAGTTTACATGGACAGCAGCCAAATAATATTTTGATTCATTGCAATGGGCTAAGTTGGACATCTCTCACCAGGGTTTTCAACTGTTTTGGACATACTTCTGAAAGCACCGGACATGAATGTTTTCTTGGCGCCGTAAGGCGCGTCGTGAGCGCCAAAGGCGCAAGCACCTGGGGGGGTCTGGGGGCATGCTCCCCCAGGAAATTTTTAAAATAGAATACTCAGAAACGCCATTTCCAGCGTTTCTGGAACCAAGGAAACAGTTTCCTAGGCAATGCTGGCGCTCTTTAAAAATTCTCTTTAAAAAGTAAATTACTGAATGAAAATGGTCAGTTGGTAGGGGGAGGGGGAGGGAGAATGGCAACAACAGAATTTTCATTGGCTTATCATTGTGAATTTATTTGATTTTCAAAAAAGATGTTTGGTAACAATTCCGTTTAAATGAAGAGGGGAAACCAATAAAATATCCCGCCGCTCAATAAGCAAAGAAAAAAGAGTTATATGGCCGTTTTGAAGAATGTAATTGATTATTCTGTTATCCTCTAGTCAGTATGTTCATGAGATGCCTTAGTAAGAAAAATATATAATACAGTAGTAAAAAAAAAATCGCCAATATTGATCTCAAAGTACCGGACGTGGAATGGCAAACGACCGGACGAAACGTCCGGCCTCCGGCCTCAAATGAAAACCCTGTCTCGCCTTGACGTTTTGTCCATGATCCACGATCTTTGACACTTTTTTCATGAAAGAAATCAACCCACTTTTACTTTGGTTGTTGTTAAATTTTACAATGGACTAAGGAACGTACATTACCATGAATGTATAAGAAAGGTAAATGTTAAGTGCGAACCCCAGCTGAGATTCTTGTATCTGTGTTGCTTACTCTGGTTCGATTCATCGATACTTAGCGTAGAAGTCACTGTACAGTGCAATGTTTGCAAATACCTTTGAGTTGTTCCATCCAAAAACATCAACAGAACTTCCATCTTGAAACAGAACTAGATACAAAAAAACTTAAAATATTTGCGCCTTTCATCCAATGGTCCGAAATGTTTGGGCGATCCCGTGTTTGTCTAGAGATGTAATGGGATCTCATGCAAAAGGGCCGAACAATTAGATTACGGCCTAGAATGTCTCCAGGGAATTAGCGATAACATTCCCACACTCGCCGGTCACGGAATGACATTTATCGAGTCTTTGTTCCGAAGGCATAGAATTTGGAGGTTTATTCAATAAGTGATCTTCCTTGGTACAGTAAAAGTTTTCGCGTTTTAAAAGCTGTAATCTGTGCTAAGGCTTTATCTGGCGATTCATGTTATCCGCGCTCAAGAAAGTCGGATTGACCGCAGCTGAATTGTAGCGTTACTGCAGCTACTTCACAGCATTTGGAAGTCAGCAACTGCGCTGCAAAACTGCTGCCGAGAGCTTCAAAGAGCCTTCAAAGGCTGCACAGCGCTTTTGCATCCCGCTGCAACTTGAATGAAGCTGCTGCATGGCTTCTAAAATGCTGCTGAACAGCTGTAATTTCGCTGTACAGCTATTTTGAAGCAATTTTGTGGTGCTGTACAGCGCTGCAAGTTTCGTACGGGATGATGCCCATGTCTGGGAACTGATCTGTACATACATGTACTGTAGATCAAAACATAATAAGAAAAAAACTACCCATTCATTGAAGGAAGGAGTGACAAAAATTTTGTAAATTTATTCATTGGCAGTATTTTTTGCAGTAATTTTATTTTGCACCGTAATGGCATTCGGTTCACAGGCATGGGCATCATTGTCGTTCGTCCCCCCTGGGTGAGGTGTGAATTCTTTGCAGAACTGCTCCTCGGGCTTATTTTGTAGTCAAAAACAGAGGTGCTGAACAATTCTATCTGAGCTCTGATATAAGGTAGCATCCAATCTCAATATCTTTTTCCTGAGTTGGAAGCAACGAACAGCAGTAAAAGTTGTTGAAAATGCATTGCAATACATCAGTGCATGCAGCAGGCATTTGAGCCAAAACTGCCAAGGGATATTTCAAAAATGTCGAGGAACAAGTCATTCTACTGTATGGCAAGGTTTGGAGCTATTTATAGTGGTTCTAAAACTAAAGAGTACCTTTTAAAGAATAGCATGATAGGCAATGGGCTTTTGTTTTATGAATTAGCAAACATTGAATTTACTTGTCTCGAAACTTCAAACTGGTATCTCCTTCTACCTGATAGTAATTTATTTTTGAAATTCCAAAACAATTTCACAGCTGAATTTTGAGCGACTTTTAGTTATGGACTTCTGCTCCAATGATTTTTCTGAAATTCCTCTGGCATATTTATTATGTCAATTGACCACTCCAGAAAATACCATAACATACCATAATGCTCTTTGTTTGTCATCCCAAAATTTTGCATAAGCATTGTCTTCAGTTTCTCTCGGGAAACAATGCTTAAATGCAAAATTGTGGGGTGACAAACAAACAGCATTATGGTATGTTATGGTATTTCTGGAGTTGTCAATTAAAGCCGATACTAGAAAATATCAGTAATTTTTTTACTAGATGCGATTTTCTTTGAACAGTAGGGTCCTTTGAAGCGCTAATTTAGCAAAATATATTTACCATCAATGAAATCGGAATATTTTGTACTATTGCCAAATGATATTTGTTGTTCTTTTCAAAGTTTCCCAGCCCTCGTGTTAAAAACGAAAAAGTTATGACAAAAACTTGGTCACAGCTGAATGCGCCTGTATTAGTGACGGAGTCAGCTTATGATACAGTATAATATCTGGGCTGCCTCTGCTACTGTCAAGTGTCTTGACCTGATAGAAAATACCGGTGTTGTGATGACAATCAGTTCTCCTGCCAAACAGTATTTTGTTACTAAATGAACATAGAATCAAAAGAACCAACTTGTTGTTGTTTAGTTCCCTGCCTGCAAATTGTTTATACTGTCGTCAGTAACTTGAAATGTTCGTGACTGCCCTGCATTCTATCAAAAGTGTTGTATTTTTCTTGAAGCATGATAGGATTCTGTGACTGACATAATGCTGTCTTTTTTTCAGGAATAATTGCTGGTCTCAATGTTCTACGTATAATTAATGAACCCACAGCTGCAGCCATTGCTTATGGACTGGACAAGAAAACTGGTGGTGAGAGGAATGTGCTTATTTTTGATCTGGGTGGTGGTACCTTTGATGTTTCTGTTCTCACCATCGAGGATGGCATCTTTGAGGTTAAGGCAACTCGAGGAGATACCCATCTTGGAGGTGAAGATTTCGACAATCGCCTGGTTGACTTCTTGGTGAAGGAATTTAAGAAGAAAAACAAGAAAGATATCTCTGGCAATAAGCGGGCAATGCGTCGTCTGCGAACAGCCTGTGAAAGGGCCAAGAGGACCCTGTCTTCAAGTCATCAAGCGAGTATTGAGATCGACTCACTTTTTGAGGGCATTGACTTTTATGTGACAGTAAGCCGTCCGAAATTTGAGGAACTAAACGCTGACTTGTTCCGTAGTACTATGAACCCAGTAGGGGAGGCACTGAAGGATGGAAAGTTCCAAAAGAATCAAATCCATGAAGTTGTCCTTGTTGGAGGGTCGACTCGCATTCCAAAAATCCAAGAGCTCTTGACTGATTTCTTTGATAAGAAGGAACTAAACAAGAGCATCAACCCTGATGAGGCTGTAGCTTATGGTGCGGCCGTACAGGCAGCTATCCTGAAAGGAGACAAACATGAAGCTGTGTCGGACCTCCTTCTCTTGGATGTGGCTCCCTTGTCCCTTGGAATCGAGACAGCTGGTGGTGTTATGACACCACTTATCACACGCAACACTACGATTCCAACAAAGAAGAGTCAAACTTTCACCACATACTCTGACAACCAACCCGCTGTGTTGATCCAGGTTTATGAAGGTGAGCGAGGCATGACAAAGGACAATCATCATCTTGGAAAGTTTGAGCTGACTGGCATCCCTCCGGCTCCACGTGGTGTACCACAGATTGACGTCACATTTGATGTTGATGCCAATGGAATCATGAATGTTTCTGCCAAGGATAAAAGCACTGGAAAAGAGAACAAGATCGTCATCACAAATGACAAAGGTCGGTTGTCCAAAGAAGAAATTGAACGCATGGTCAGCGATGCAGAGAAGTTTAAGGCAGATGATGACAAGGTGAGGGAAAAGGTTCAAGCTAAAAACAGCCTGGAGAGCTATGCCTACAGTATGAAGAGCACAATTGAGGATGACAAAGTGAAAGACAAGATCAGTGAAGAAGACAAGACAGCCATTGCAGACAAATGCAAAGAAGTGATTGAATGGCTGGACCAAAATCCATCTGGTGAAAAAGAAGATTATGAAGCTAAACAGAAGGAGCTAGAGAAGGTTTGCAACCCTATTATCACCAAGCTTTACCAGGGTGCTGGTGGTGCTGGTGGAATGCCAGGTGGAGCGCCTGGTGGTATGCCTACTGGAGGGTTTCCAGGTGGAGCTCAGCCTGGTAGTGCAGGCCAAGAATCTTCTGGTCCCACCATTGAAGAAGTTGATTAAATTTTGACATTTGCCAACTTATACTCTGTGTATTGACTTGATGGACTTTAGCTGTTGACCAGTTATTATTAAGTTGTAATGTACATACGGTACACACACAAGGTATTGTTAAAAGCTTCCATTATGACAGCACTAAATACCTTGCCTTTATATTGCATGAAAAATTTCGTTTTGTAATTCATAACTTCTGATAGCTTGCCCTTTGCGTTACTATGACGGTTTTGAGTAAAATAAATGCAGTTGCTCTCACAAAGTTTGTTGACTGGTTGGCTTCCTGATGACAGATACACAGTTAACATCCACTTCAAAAACTTGCCAAAAAGAAAAGAAATTAGCGTTTAATGAGTGTCTTTGTATCTGATAAAGTCATGGCTAAACTTTACGCCCAATTTTTTAGACCAAAGTAACCCCAAATCTAAATAAATTATTAGTGCAAGAATGAGTTGATCTACTGTATATCAAAGATTTTGACGCCGTTCCAAAAACTCGCAGTCGTGTGTTATCAGGTTTTAGGACTCGGCTTTGCCTCTAGTTTTTAAACCTGATAATACACTCCTGTTCGTCTTTAAAACTGCATAAAAGGGAGGCCTGGCTTTGGTTGTTGAAAGGTGAACAGAGCTCTCCACTTTAAGGTTTTTTTTGATGTCTAACCAAATTATGGGTTACTTCAGGCTGAACGCTGGAATGTTGACCATTAAAGGACCCATTTTCCTTGAAATTTCAAGTAGTTTGCTGGCTCTTTGTTTATCAACCAAATCATTCATATAACTGGCTGATATGTACCTACCGTCTTTATCCCATAGACTGTCAACAGATGACATGTAGTTCCAGTATGAATAACCCCCACCCCACCCGCTCCCCAAAAAAGCAGAACAAATAAGAGGACCAACGCAGCCTGATATCCCACCTAGATCCGATGTATGATAACGTATCAACCTGGAGCCAGTCACATATAGTCTATCTTTACGTGCTACATAAAAGTCAACGCCAACCCTCCCGACATTAGCAGTTCGGTGTTTTTTACAACATGACTCTGAGATACTGAAATTTGAAGTTGTTTCTTGTATGCACGGGGGTGAGGTTGAACAGATGGTGAGGGCGTAATATATTTATGCCTCTGTTATTGAATAGTGCTGATTTCTAATACCTTTCTCGCGGTACGGGGCGAGCGAGGGTCAGAAAGGCTCCTCCAAAAACAGCATTCCTTTTAAGTATTGATACCTGTGGGCACGCAAGGGAGGCTTGCTAGAGGGGTGCCGCTGAGGTCTTTTAACCCTGATCCTTTTTTTCGTGTCCCTGGTTCGTTTCGATTTCCCATTATCACGGTATAGGAATTGGATCGTGGAATTACATTCTTTTGAAACATTGTTCTTGGAACCTCAAATACAGACTGCTCACCGCCAGCCATCACGCTCTTGAAAGGCTTCTGGTTGAAAACGACGCACAAAAATTCTTAAAATGATGCATAACGATGCTTATGCAAAATTTTGTTGGGATAACTAAGAGTATTATGGGTTTTTTGAAAAAGGCCTATAGTGAAATTTTGTTAAACCATACCCTTGCAGCAGTGGCATCTACCCGCTTGGACCAAACAAGGGAGTGTCAACACACACCATCGTCTAGTGACAGTACACCTAAGAGACATGGCAACAATTTAGTGTTGTTAACAGTACTTGCAGCTCAAAGAATAAGAAGTTACTTTCCGCTCCTCTTGATTTTCTACAAAGTGGAGTCCACTAGACCCACGCGGGTATTCCCTTATATGGCCTACACGGGGATGTGCCGCGGTACAGGCTATGGTTTTTGACCTCTCCAGTAGCTGTCCTAAACAGGGTATATAATTACACGACAGGGTACCGTATTTCCTCGAATAATAGCCGGGTGTGATTATTTCTTTTTTCTCACAAAAAAGGGGCGATTATTCGAGGGAAGGCGATTATTTCAAATATTGCTCACTGGAAGTTAAATAAACTGGACCTGGGCTTTTCAAGTGTTCCAAATTTAGTTCCTTTATTAATTTTCAGAGCTTGAATCGTCACTGATCAGTTTTGCTGGATCTCATTGCACCTCAACTTGACAGGGAGGGGATAAAAGGAAGAGAATATGGCGAGAAGGGCGGGGAAGGGGCGATTATTTTAAGTCTTTCCACCGAGGGGGGCGATTATTCGAGGGAGGCAATTAATCGAGGGACGGCTATTTTTCGAGGAAATGTGGTATATAATTTTGTGCGAGTACGAATTATAGACTACCCTGGGTACCAGAGGTTTTTCTCGCGTGCGGTCGGAATTTTCGGTGTTGGCCGAAGGCCGACACATCTTCGGCCGTAGGCCGAAGAAGTCTCTGGCACCCAGGGTAATTATAAACAGGGTGTTGCCTACAGAAACAGGTTAATCCTAATCCAGGATAGCTTGTGTACAGACGTCCCCTTGAGTGGATGGGGTGTCTGTACATAAGCTAACATACAGGGTATGTATTTTAGGTTTTTTTGTCCTCCTCAGGGAACCCTCAGCGGCTCACCTATACCCTGTATACCCAAACGTTGCTCGAGTATCCCCTCCCACCCCAAAACTAGACCTTTTCCGGGACATAACCTGGCGTTCCCTAACCTTCTTCCCCTTATGTAAACCTGTGAAGCAGGGTCGAAGCAGGGTTTATTTATAGCTGGTAGTCCAGCTGGTATCCTCTTTTTTCTACAACCTTGTTCCCAGGGTTATCTCCTACCCGCCCTACGGAGTGAGAGATAGGAGAGAACCCTGGGAACGAGGTTCTTTTTTCTATAGATGGTTTTCACAGTGACGTCATCAATTTGTAAAGTCAAAATAGCGAGGGTTTACGAATTCTTATTTACACTAGGTTCAAGATAAACAAAAAGTTAATCTTTGTACAAGTTTCCAGTCCCATAGCATGTTTCATTTCGAAAATACAGCAATTTGAACTTCTGAGTTTTCAGAGTGCGTGACACCAAAAAAGGGAAGGCTGTCTCGTTGGAAAAAAGTCTCTCCTCTTGATTTTCAGCAGTATAACCATTTCAAGTATTAGAAGATATGTTTATGCGCACGTAGACTAGTTCTCGAGTGAAAAGAAGGAGCTTTTATAGAACAAGTGAACTCCAGATGTTTTTGTTGATTTTCGGCGGCCATATTGGTGCACCAAAACTGTGCACCAATATGGCGTCTCCATACAAAGCTCTACAAAGATGTGTGAAACGTTTCGGCAAATAACTCAGAAACTGTGGGCCAAAAAGACCTGAGACTTGGACAAGTTGTTTAAAAATTAGTCTTTTATAACATATCATTTTCTTGGCTTCTTTCACTGGAAAAAGGGAATCGGTCCAAGTAATAAGTTTAAATTCCAAGACCTGGTTAAAGCCCCTTGTAGGACAGACGAATAATTATTTGAGGTACCGGTCTACACGAATTCAGCCTATGAAATGCCTGGTACTTACGTGAGAACGTGCAACGCAGCTGCATGTCCTGCACTTGGACGTTCCATCACCCAAAATGAACCTTTCACAGCCGCCAAATCTGTGAGGCGGGTGGTTGATACAACTTCCTCGAAAAACGCCCTCTCTATCTCGTTCTGCCATGATCAGTAGAACCGAATGTCCCCGGCCTTAAATGAAAAATCCTTAAATAACTGTGACCGAGCCCAGGTTTTATGAGCCCGCGAGACTGAGCATTCCGACCCACTGACCCTTGTTTTCACCAAAACCGCTGGATGCTACAATCTGCTTGAGGCTATTATTTCCCCATGAGGGGGCATCGCACCCACTTAACCTGTCACGTGGGTAGATATCTATCTCATTATACTATTTTCGAAATCAGAAAACGCCATTTGGGAAATCAAACGACCTGATTTTGGAAATCAAACATTTGTTTAAGATATCGGTTGGGAAAAGATTAACAATCATACACGTATTTCAGAGAGCATACTCAACACACTTGGAAAACATAAGCGTTCATTTAGTAATAGAAATCGAGAAATTTTGGAAATCAAACTCGAGTGTCATTTGAGAAATCAAACGCGACAAATTTTGGAAATCAAAAGTGTCATTCGAGAAATCAAAACGCGTCTAATTTTGGAAATCAAACGCGTCAAATTTTAGAAATCAAACGCGTCAAATTTTGGAAATCAAACTCGAGTGTCATTTGAGAAATCAAACGCGACAAATTTTGAAAATCAAAAGTGTCATTTGAGAAATCAAACGCGTCAAATTTTAGAAATCAAACGCGTCAAATTTTGGAAATCAAAAATGCATTTGAGAAATCAAACGGGACAAACTTTGAAAATCAAAATTGTTATTGGAGAAATCAAACGCGACAAATTTAAAATCAAAATGACACAATAAAAACGAAAAGGATTTTTCCTTTTAATCATAGATATCAAAATCATAGAAGACAAGAAAAGAATCAGACATAGTAAATTTTATTTGTGATACTCCTCGAACACCGTAGGTTTTCAATTTATTTTTTTGTTGCGTGACAGTGAAAACGATCTATAGATTTTGTTTTGAAAATTTAATTCAGGTTCCCACAAATTTTGATACCAGGACTTGAGTGAAACGGGCCCCCGGCCGAGACATGGGGTCTTCTCATATTCACGGGGTGGGGCTCGGGGCTCGAGGAAGACAGTCCAGTCCTCGGGGAAAGGTAAATAGGAGTACTTACTTGTTCCCAGTTTCTCCGGGCTATCCCTCAAAATGGCGACGCTCGCGTGATGGCGGTGTACGTTCTCAAGCGTTTTGCTCGTTGTTTTCGGAATTTTCAAACTGGTTTACGTGTTGTGCAAGACAGAAACGTTCACAGAAAGGTTGCTGCAACTGTTGAAGCATTAGAAAAATTGTATGCTGAGCGAAAATGTGTTATAAATGGTAGGAGATCTTGCATAAGCTCAATAGTGAGTAACTATGTCTGCCTCTCAAATTTGCTTATCATATGAAATAATGATATGAAAATGAAAATTTTGACTGCTCACATAGATCTTCATATTTGAATACGACT